TTTACACACAAGACAAACCATAATTTAAATATAAATTTTAGCTTTCACATGCACAACAGATTTTGGTGCCTCATAGGTTAACTTCTTTTTTTTTTTTTTTTTTTTTTGTGATACCTAGATTCCATTGAGATTCACACTTTTTAACCTTGTGTGTGATAATAAGCTACACAAGATGAGACAAATTGAGCCACTTTGCATATTGGAGATGTGCATTTGCATACTTAGAGCAGACTCCTTTCTTTGTAGATGATCCTGTAAGTAACGTTTCATATCGATAGATAAACTTACACTCCTTGCAGTTTCCCATTTAACTTTTGGTTGTAATTTAATCTAATGCTTTTTACACAGCAAATGATTGAGAATTACAAATTTTTTTTATTTTCTTACATAATTCATTCATGCATATCAATTCACACCCAATCATGCATGATTACCATTAGATGAGACTGAATCTAGATACAATTATGTGAATCATGTTTCCAGCATCCTCAATTTTCTTGCCAACTTAATATCAAGCTGTCAAAGCAGAAAATAAAATTCAACCTCATTATTTTAATTCTCCTTTTCGATACCTAACTGAATATTTGCCTGACATGGAAATTGGAATAGTAAAATCAAGCAAACTTACATCTCCAATGATACTCAATACCGTACACACATCACTAAGTAACAAACACCCTCTTAACAATCAATCATATGGTCTAGTAATAAAATTACTTATGCTCTTAACCACAAGTTTAGGATTCAATTCCTAATCTCTAGGAACCAAAAACAACAAATACCCTCTTAAACATGTTGATACAACTACATGACAAACTATCAAATAACATAACTGAGGAATGCTACTTCCCTATATAAGTTGGCTTACATAAGCAAGAACGGTTTCGTATTCATTTTCTTCTTGGGCAGCATTCATGCATCTAATATCGGTCACGCCTGATTAAAAACATTCAAGAATAATCTCAGCACAGAAAACTTCAAAAGCTTCAGACACAAAACAAAAAGAACAATAAGGAAGGCAAATATCTATCACTGGTTTTTGAGGTTAAGATCAAGATTCAAATCCAAGCAATAACTAACAAGTCATAATATAATGAGGTACTAAAGGAATGCCATCCCTTCATCAGCTCATCATAAACAAACAGTAGTCAAGATATTTTAGAATTTAGATGAGATTAAAAAAAACAGGGTTTTTTATGTGACGAAAAATAGCATTAAAATCTACGGTACAGGTGTTTGCTCCACCCCTATGCCTTAAGCATGGTTGGTTTTGGGTCTATTCAAGATTACGACCATTTCTCTATGCTGTATTCCAATAATAAGGGAAATATACTAGAAACAGATGATAGCACCGAAAAATGCTGAGTAAGATTCTTATCATCATGAGGATAAGAGAAAACAAAAGAAAGAAAGAAAAGAAGAATGTAGCTTCACGTGATAAGAGTTTCTTCGTTGCCCGAATAAGAGAAAACAAAAGAAAGAAAGAAAAGAAGGATGTAGCTTCACGTGATAAGAGTTTCTTCGTTGCCCGAATCATAGAGGATTGTAGCTCACATCCTCAAATAAATTTGATGCAACTGTCCCTGGCTTTTATCTTATATTTAGCTTCTTGGACTCAAATACTAGCCAGAGTTCAGCATTAAATTTGAAAAGAATGGTAAAAGACCCAGGATGGGACATTTTACGAAAACAGAAAACAAATATTATATTACATTATACATTTGATAAGTTAAAAAAGAATCACAAAACAAAACTAAGAATATATTGTTAAACAAGCATGGGATAATGTTAAAAAAGTACCTGTGGCAATCATGATCCCTAGAGTGTTCCCTATACCTTGAACATGACCTGCGGTGACTTCTAGAATCATAAGTTCGAGAGCGCTCATAATCCTTATTACGATCTCGATCACTATACCTGTCACGATCTCTGCTCCTACGATCATAATCCCTGCCTCGGTCACGGCTATTCCCTCGGTCTCAGTCCCGACTTGATTCTCTGTCATGATCTCTGCTTCTTTCTTTCGATCTGTACACCAATCAAAAGGATGTCACAACACCCCACTCACCACCCAATGGTTTACCAAAAGGAAAAGGAAAAGAAACCACGTGAGGATTACCTCTTGTCATCATACCGGTCAAGTTTGCGACTCTTGTTTCTCTCTTCCTGAGAAAACAATAATCACCAAATACTACTGAATGCTTCTTTCGAAAAGTTAAATGTCACTTCAATTTAGCTAAATATAACATGCCATAAGGACCATCAGGAAAGAATTCTAATAGTGGTAGGCATAATTAGTAGGCAACTTACCCTGACCAAATCAGGCCTTCATCAGATTTATTGTCATAGATTTTAAACATACGAAAAGGTCATTTTTTTTCTCGCATTACTTACAACAAATTCCTTTCTTGTACTCCTCTCCTATTTGATTTCATGTTACCATTTTTTTTTTTCATTCTTTCAGCCGAACAAACTCATCTATCAAAATTGGTCGAGCATGAAGACAATTCATATTTGATACATTTTAACCCCAATATGCACAGACAAGGTAGAAAATACTGTTTTAAAGTCCAGCATCTGCAAACAATCAAAAGAAATTGAAAAATGGGAGATATTATTCTTCTCTGGGGTCAGAAAAACTCACAAATGATACTAATTGAAAATCAGTATAGAAGAATGAGAAACATTATACCAGCACCTGACCAACATATTCACAATACAAGCTTAAGGGGATCCAGAAAAGATGAATTAATTTGCTGTTCTACTAGAATCCATTAAGTAACAGCGTTCAAATAAAGTTCTGATTATTTTAAAAAATAATAATAATAGACATGGTAAGTGGATAGTTCTAGCAATTTATACAACCAACACCTTGGATGCCAGGCACTATCCCTAGCCTTATGTAACACTTAAAGCAGAGCCACCATAGACAGTCAGCAT